GATGCGAGTGACTATGCAGTTGGGATTGTTCTGGGTTAGAGACGCGACAGACATTTCCAGCCCATCTACTACACGTCGAAGACCTTGAATAATGCATAGGAGAACTATACCACCACTAAGAAAGAGCTGCTCGCAGTGGTGTATGTTTTCGATAAGTTCCGACCCTACCTGGTGCTCTCTCATTTGATGGTCTACGCAAACCACTCTGCTATCTGCTACCTGATGAGCAAGGGTGATGCCAAGCCTAGGCTCATTCGCTGGATCCCCATACTATTACTCTGTTATGATATGTTATGTCACACCCCTGATGTGGTGTTGACCATTGATTCATCATGAGATATGACCACACCCATATTGGGGTTGAGTCCGATATGACCACACCTAGAGTGGTGCCAGGTCTGATATGACTACACCGACAGTGGTGAGTCCGATATGACCAAAGATTTTACAGTTTAAAATCAGAATTTTATGAAATTTTAAGGTTCAAAGATTTTATAGTAAAATCAGGATCGGAACCCATAGGTAAGATCGTAAAATCGGGATTTTGACTACATTGGGCACCACTATGGTTTATTTTCTTGCAGGAGCATGGAAAAGCCCAACCACAAGTATCGGTTCGTCCAGGATTTGAATTCTAGACCGTACAAGGAGCAGCCTAAGTGCACTGTGTCCGCCTCCTTCGTCAAGCATTTCTGTTGGGACAGACACACTTTGACCACTCTGCACTGCCACGAGGCCCTCCTTGCCATCGTGCCCATTCCTAAATGGCACCGGATACTGCAGCTGTCTACTTCCTTCTACTTTGAGTTGGTGATCGAGTCTACTCAACCATCGAGCATCAAGAGGCCCGCAGTCAGGTCACCTTTTGGCTGGGAGGGGAGATGCACACCATGTCCTATACCCAGTTTGTCGCCGCTTTCAACCTCCACACTGGGGACATAGGGTAAAGACGAGGACCTCCTTGGCGAGGAGACTACCCTAGCGGGCATGGATTTCAAGGGCTACTTCCATCAGATTTTTCTCCTTGAGAAAGTTGCACCGACAAGCAGTTCTTGCTGGGAAGACAAAGGCCACTTCCCTCCATCCCGAGTGGCGTATCCTTCACCAGGTGCTGGCCAAGTCATATGCCCCCAGTAAGGAGCCACAGGTCAGCTCACCAAGCTCTCGTTGTACTTCATGTATTCCATGGGTCGGGTGGACCACCCCATGCACCTGGGATCGATTCTGGCGAGGACTATCACCAAGAGTGATGCTACCATGAAGACTCCCCATTGCACTCCCCTCATCACCTTATTGGCGAATCACCCGGCATTGACATCACTGATTGCACCTTAGAGAGCACGAAGGTGGTTCTCGGGGCAAAGACCATCACCAGCATTAAACTGTTGAGGGAGAGCTGGGGCGTCCAGTGGGTTCAGGGGCGGTTTGAGCCCGTCATTACTCGAGAGGACGAGGTCCCACCAGCTGATCACGAGGAGTCGGGTGATGAAGGAGATCGTTTGACTTTCCAAGGGTCCCAGTCTCGCCCTCCTAGCACCTACGACTAGGGGAGCTGTTCTGCACAACCTTTCGAGGCTCATACTGCGACGCTGTACCTGCAGACGCAAGCCATCCTGGGTCACCAGGTCCAGTTTTAGGAGCAGTATGTGGCCCATCATGCGTTGTACGCCTCCTGCATGGACGCGTTTGACGCACGTCTGTACCGGATGGCAGCTCAGTCTCTCCCTACTTCTTCATCCAATCTTTGCTCTTTTTTCATTCCATTTTTTCGGTAACATCGTTCCCCTTATCTTTCCCTCTTCTCCATTGAGGGCATTGTCGATCTTAAGAGTGAGGGGTGTTTATAGTTGATTGCATAAATTTGTTTGTGTGCTTGGAGCCTAGCCCACTGTCCAAATCATTGATTTGAGGGCTCCAAGTACATGTTCCTTGCAATTTCCTGCTCATTATGCTTTGAATTGACAGTTTTTATTGTACTATGCAACCTATGGAGGTAGTTGTAGCACTATGGAGGATGCTGAAGTATAAGAGATTTCATATCTTTCTTCTTGTTGCGTCGGTTGTTTGTGTGAACTAGTGGCTTTAGGACATTTGATTCATGTTGTACTGATGACTCTCTTTTTGTTTAGGACTCATGTATCATGAAAGGGTGCTCACTGTGCTTAATAAAAAGCAGTTGGTCCTCCATGTAAAAAATTTGAAGCATGGGGGTAAGCCCAATGTGTGGCACCGTTCATTGCAGAAAAGTGATCCTTAGTGGGATACCCCTACAAGGTGAAGCTAAGCCGTTTCTAGTACAAGTAAAAATTTTACCCGTTGAACGACTCACCTACTTGAGAATGTGTTTTTAAGGGCAAAGATAGAGCTTCTGACCTCCATTAATTTCATTGACCCTCCGCAAGAATTGCGGAAAAGGAGTTAAAAGAAATACTATGACGAGCAATAGATGTATAGAAATTGCCCTTGTTCAATCAATAAGGTTCGACTGTGCAAAAACTGCAGTTTGGGACCCCAGTAAAGTGATGAATCAAAGAAGAAGAAGAAAAAACAAAGTAAGAAAAAGGGGTTCCAACGAATGAAATGAAACGGAAAGAGCACCGGATAGGAAGAGTCCATGGTTGTTGTGTCGTGAGTAGTCTCTTGCATTGAGAGAAATAGAGGATGTCTTAGAAAACCGATTGACCTCGTAAGCTGCTAAATGATCTAGGAAATCCTCTACTGAGAATCAGAGTTGCATGTTGTTGTAAAGGTTAGCAGAGTTGCAGTGGTTTGAGTTAGGTTTTCTTGGGGACAAGCAAATGGTTAAGTGTGGGGGAATTTGATAACATTGCGTTTGTACATTCCCCCCCCCCCCCCCCCATTATTTCTTGATCGTATGGCTTGGCATTTGATCGGCTTTTGGCCTATTTTACGCTAGGTTGTGCTTGTTTGTGACATTTCAAGTCCTAATACGTGAATGAAGGTTCGAGAATGAGTTTGGGGATGATTGGATGAAGTTGGAGCTTTCGAAGAAGAGCAGAGGAGCTTTGCACATGCCGGAATCCACCTCGAACGGTCATGTGAAGTGAGGGTGCGACAAGAGGTGTGCATAGGCAAACTGCATGGGCTACCCATGCCCATGTGTGTTTTCCATAGAAGTTGCACGGGCAAAATCCCGCTCGGTACGAGTGTCTGAGCCCATGCACGGGCTTATGAGCCACTTATCTTGTATGCTGCTTTTTGAGGCTGCACGCGTAGATTGGAGGAGGCGCATGGTCGTTCGCCGACCGTGCATCGAGACCTGCTAGTCCTAAACCCAATTTTGGGTGTTTAAGAAGGTGATTCGAGTTCTTATCGCAAAAAACACAACCATAGTTCCTTGTGTTATGAACCTTTATTGTATGAACCCTTGGATGCTCTATTGTTTTATTATAATCAATAGAGGCATGTTTTGTTGATTCAATTGGATCTTGATCACATTCTATTGATTTCTACTTTAACTTTTGATAGATAGAATCTGATTAGGTTAATAGAGCTTCTTCGATTGATAGTAGTGAATTGATTGTACGAGAGTCAGTCAATTCACTCCTTTGTACAAGAATTTGTTCCAAGTAGTGGAGATCTAGGAAAAAATTCTCAAAATACACGTGTTTTAAAAAAAATTCTCAAAATACACATGTTCGGGCATCACAGCGGTCGTCAACCGCAGTGAATGCATTAACCGCGGTAGACGAAAGCGGTGAATGCATCACCGCGGTTGACGGCCGTGCTGAATGCCTGGCGTAACACTGAAACTTCAAACAAACGTAACTTTGCGCTCCGTTTTCCGATTGTAGTGAATTTTTTTATTATTCCAGATAACTTTTCATGGTCTTTCGATCTGCAACAAACCTTCATCCAAAAAAAATCGTTTGCTACCCCGAAGGAGCAATTTTTCGATTTTGATAAACTTTGAAAGACCATAACTTTGTACTACGCAATCCGAATGTCATGAAACTTTTTTTATTTCGAATAACTTTTGAAGGAATACAACTTTGATTATATCCATAATTTTGGAATGTATGTGGATTTGTGAAAAATAAAATCGAAAAAGTTATGGCCTTCCAAAGTTTGGCAAAATCGAAAAATTGCTCGTTCGGGGTAACACACAACATTTTTTTTAGATGAAGGCTTGTTGCAGATTGAAAGATCGTGAAAAGTTATGCGGAATAAAAAAATATCCGCTACAATCGGATAACCGAGCGCAAAATTACGTTCATTTGAAGTTTCGGTGTTATGTCAACCATTCACCACGACCGTCAACCGCGGTAATGCATTCACCGCTTTCGTCTGCCGCGGTGAATGCATTCACTGCGATTGACAGCCGCAGTGATGCCCAAACATGTGTATTTTGGGGGAAAAATTTACAACTTATGTATTTTGGGAATTGTTTTTAAAAACATGTGTATTTTGGGATTTTCCGGAGATCTATGTGAATCACCTTCTATCCCATTGAAGGCTAGTCGCCTACCAGATATTTTGTCTAAGAGGGCTTGGTCAGTTTAAAATATTCCAAGCTATTTTGGTATCTTCTGTAGTCTAATCAACAGTAAAACAACCAAAGCAAATTACAACTTGGAGCAAATTGAGAAGTTAGGGGGACTCATTCCCAAGAGACTTTTCTCTTGCACTTGGAAATCGATAATTTACCTGCCTCCTTTGTTATTTTGCTTTCTGCATTTTCACTACAATTTGATCGCTAGGTACTAGATATTCACGGAGTAGACAGTAAATCTAGGAACCTGGTTGACAATTAAAACTGAACCCACACTATACTGCATTTCCATACTACGATTACACTTGGTAGTAGTTTGGTGTTGTGTTTTGGCGAGTTATGTCACCAAGTTCAGGAGGTGGAATCTTCTCTCCTTCGTTTGACAGATCTGCTTGCAAGGGGGAATTGAGTCATCGTTGTACAACAGTTCCATGGGGTCATCTCTCTAGCTACGTTGCCACCATGACAGCTGACACTTTCCGCAACTACTTTGATGGGCTCTTTATTATGGCGCTCAACCCTCTCATCTCCAACCTCACCCTTTTCGATATTATCGATTCCCCCAGTGTCTCCACCTATATCTGTTCCATCAACACATGATATGAGTTGAAATAGGGTGTGATCTCTATATGGGCATTGTCGTTTCATACAAAGAAATGAGTGAGGGTTTCTCAAGCACTTGCACTCCTTTTTTCTTTCCAATATAGTTGGTTCCTTCTTGGAAAACCACTAGATTCTATTTTTTGGAGGCGTATCACTTTGCTTCTAAGTTTGCTTTTGGACTCCATTTTCTTGCAAACCCTAAGGACAAGGAAGTGGAATCATAAGTTCTTTTCCTCCTCTTGTTGTAGTGTTTTATTGTTGGTTACCGTTGAACAACGGCGGCGGAGATAACGAGAAGGGGCCAAATTGGTCCTCGGCCTACGGGGTATTAGCATCCATTTCCAAATGTTGTTCCCCTCTCAAAGGCAGGTTCTTACGCGTTATTCACCTGTCCTTCACTGGAAACACCTTTTCTCGTTTGACTTGTATGTGTTGAACATGCCGCCAACTTTCATCCTGGAAAGACGAAGAGGAAATGTATCAAAGACAACAACCATTTTATTCCATTGCGTACTCTCACTTGAAGAGGTACTGTTCGGGGAGGGAAAGGGATTAGCCGACACAATAAGATGGAGTGGAAGCTTTCGAAATCCTGAGAATTGATTAGAAAGGTTAGGAGGACCAAGGGTTTGAGGGGGAAGGGAATGTGTTTGAAACTTTGAATAGAGAGGGATGTGATTGAGGGACTCGATACACCTTTTCTGCTATTTGATTTGGTTTTTGGGCTAGTTACGAAATTAAAAAGAAAATATAAATAAATTTTTGTTCAATAATGTGACAGCCATGCATTAGTCATGTTAGCATTTTTTGGCTAATTAATTATCGGTCAAAATGTTCCACTATTAGTCTCGACGGTTAACTCCAATTTTGAGGCAAATTTGTTCTTTTTCTTCTAAAGTTAAGACAAAACTGTCCATTTCGAAAATTCAAACAACAATTATATTTTGAACAAAATAAGGTAGTATACACATATAATATGCGAACTCATTTAAAAGGCTCGTGTAGATGGTAGCAAACCCTTTGAGTTCGGGTATATAGAAACAGTAACGTGCGATATTAATATGATAAATAAATAAATAAACATATTACAGTTGATTAATTAGCTTAAATGGGATTTGTGTATGGACTATGCAGAGAGCTGATGATGTGATGAGGTGTCCAAATTGGAGACTTGGGAAGGAAGCACGAGCTTCATTATCAGTACCCGGACGATTCTGTCAATATGATTGGGGGATATGGATAATATGAAAAAATGCTAGTAGCAAGTGCCAGCCTGCCCCATACCCAACCCCAAAATTCATTATCAGTTCATTGAATGTAATAATCGATATCATCCAAATAAATAAATAGCTTCCAATTAGGGAGGAATAAGGTGGGATTGCCTACCCTGTATTTTTTAAGGGGGAAAATGACGGAAAGGAAAGTTTGTGGGGGAAAAGGTTATTCCCGAGGCTTTTTCGCCGTTCTCCATATGCAATACAGTAACGGGGTGAAAAAATTTGGGGAAGTTTCACAGTGTTGGGTGCCCTCCAAATCGGAGAGAAAAGCTGACGTTGAACCTTTTATTTTGTTTTTCTAATTAACTTAAACATATTTGACCTATTATTTTATTTGTGGCTAGGTCTGGGTTAGTTTGTATTCGCTATTTAGCATTTTATACCACTCTACTATTGACATTTAACAAATGTATCCTTACACTATATTTTGCACAAACATACCCTTCTAATATTGAAACGTAACAAAAATGTTAACATCCCGAACCTTTTTACAATGAAGATATTGTCTGCTTCGGGCCTCGGCCCTCTACTTAAGGTGCAATTCAAGGTAACTTCCCATAAAGTCACTCATCGTTGTTGTACTCCACAATGAGCACGTTTACCTTCAGAGTTCTCATAAGAACTCCTCCATTTCACCCAAAAACGCGTCTTGTCAGTTAAGGCCGGTTACATTTCAATATTAGAAGTGTATGTTTGTGCAAAAATATAGTATAACTGTACATTTGTTAATTTGCAATAGTAGAGAGATATAAAATGTTATTAACTTTTTTTTTTTTTGCCAAAGTCATGTTTCTTCGCTATTTGTTGCCAATGTTTGGTGAAAGTGGGTATAGAACGAGGAGATTAATTGTAACACCTTAGGAAAATCCCACATCGACAAAGCACGAGAGAGATACATGGTTCAAAAGTAAAAAATCGATCTTAACTGACAAGACGTATTTTGGGATGAAATGGAGGAGTTCTTGTGAGAACTCTGAAGTTAAATGTGCTTAGTGTGGAGTACAAGGATGTGTGATCTTATAGGAAGTTACCTTGAATTGCACCCCAAGTCAAAAACCGTGAGGGCCGAGGCACGAAGTGGACAATATCTTTGTCAGGAAAAGGTTCGGAATATTACAAGTGATATCAGAGCCTCTATGCGTCCCTCTTGAACGTTGGTGGGGCAAACCTCAACGAGGACGTTGAGTCCCAAGGGGATGTATGTAACACCTTAGGCATATCCCACATCGACAAAGCACTGGAGAGATCCATGGTTCATAAGTAAGAAACCAACCTTAACTGACAAGACATGTTTTGGGGTGAAATGGAGGAGTTCTTGTGAGAAGTTTGAAGTTAAACGTGCTCGGTGTGTAGTACAACAAGGATGGGTGACCTTATGGGAAGTTACCTTGAATTGCACCACAAGTCAAAAACCGTGAGGGCCGAGGGCCGAAGCGAACAATATCTTCGTCGGGAAAAGGTTCGGAATGTTACATTAATTATAGTTAAAAACGATTAGTCGGGGATTTTTAAAAATGATTAAGTGTATCATTAAAAAATGATTAATGGGAGCTTTTGACCGAGATGCAATTTAATCGATCATAGCATTGATTTTAATAAATACGGATAAGACCCAAACCATATATGGGGATGATGGTTAGACGTGATTTTGACTAATTTTTTGTCGTTCTAGTGATTTACTAGTTTTTTCGCTCGTGCTCCGCCGCGATAAGAAATTAATAAATTAGTTGAAATCAAATTATTCATTAAATTATTCAGATAACTACATAAATTTCACCTAGTCTCTTAATCATTACGAATAATGTGTGGTCACCCTATTTTAAACGAATTTATATATGTCTAGTATTAGCGATAGCCTACTTTTAGAAGGATTTATGTATGTGTAGTGTGATGTGTTATTTGTTTATGTTTTTAGTTGCTATGTTGATAAATCAACAAAATAGCAAACAAAATTTTAATAATAGGTTGACACTTTTTTTTCAAATGATATACTTTTGATTTTTAATAGTGAACAAAATTAGCAAGAAAGTAAAATTTTAATTCAAATTCATAAGCAATGAAAATAATATCTATATATAATCAAATTATTTTCCTATTACATACTCAATAAAATAACATATCTATCACAATTCCTAATAGACAATTTTCTTCCCACTTTTCTCCATAAAACAACATTTTTCTTCCTATTTCCTTGACGAGTCCATTCCCTCCTAATTCGCTTCCCTTCCCCTCCCCTTCGTTTTCCTCCCTTTCTTCGGGAATAGGGGGTAAATAATTTCATTTTCAAAAATTTACATCCATGTTCTTCTCATACTCATGCAAAAAAGGTTTTGAAACCATGCATATCTCCGTATTTTTTATTTTCGAACACCCATGGATAATGCTCTACCATACTACCCTAATTATTTTATACCATTAGATTTTCAATTATAACACCAAACGGATCTAATAAATTATCAACAAAATACAATATTTCTTAATTCGATTCAAAATATATGATCCTAAAACACTCATTAATTCATGAGATAAAGTACAATACTATTAAAATTATTCATCTCTGACTTTGATACATGTATCAAGTATCAAATAACTACCATAATCTTGTTAACAGGGGGAGTAAGAGTGAAGAGAGAATTAAGAGGTTTTACTTTTTTGTGGTCAGTCAATTACATTTCTACTATTTATTTTTTTATTTACCCTCTTACAATCAGTGACATATTACAATTTAATCCCTATGTTTTTTATATGTGGATAAAGTACTCTTGATGGGGAGGATATAGGTATGAGTACGAGTATGAGACGGGATGCTAAAATCATATCTGCCTCATAATACATTAAACTTTTTGCGGATAAGGTTTAACCCATACCCAGTTAATGCGAGAATTTCTTGCATTGACTTAATTGAGAACGATCGGATACACATAATTACCGGGTTGATTGTCATCCTTACTTCCAAACTTTAATAATTATATAAAAGTACTTCCAAACTTTAATAATTATATAAAAATGGTGAACAAGGATTTGAACTAATAGTAATACCTGCTAACCTGAAGTTCCATGTTCGAATCACTTTAGTACTCTTCGGTATAAAAATCAATTGACCCATATTTAATCCCACCTGCCCAACTGTCTTGTAGAAATCAACTAAGATCAGATCATGACAAACTTAATCAAACAGGTACAAAAGTGTGTATAAAACCGCACTAATTATGCAAAAGCTTGTTCTCTAATCATTCCCCTTGCACAACAAAATTACCTCAAGTTTTTGTCTTATACTTTGTTCAAGTTAGGCTGTGATCTTGGCATTACGAAGGCAATTTCTTTCGAAGGCAAACACATATGGCACATGGGATTGGGTCACTACACCCCACAAGTGTCTACTCAATGATTGTCACATTCACACCTCTTCCCATAAAATGGTGGTTCGAATATATAATTCTTATCTTTGATTCAATCTTGTTTCTTCATTTTGTTTTCGTTGGTCCCAACACAAACTAACCAATTATCAGACTGGCAGCCAGCTCAACCTGGTACTGGACACCAAATTCACTTTCAGACTTCAGTCTCTTCAGCTCGATCTCCATTATGGTTTTGTTCTCAAACCATTACCAAACCAATGATGTCAACCTTATTTACAATCATAGCTTGATGAGAAGATCTCACAGCTCTGCAACTATTTCTCAGGGTTGTTGCAATTGCTACATGAACAACCAGTCACATAATAGCAATGATAGCAATAATTTCATGTCCTTGACTTTCAGATGCATTATTATTGTTACTCACTCTTCCCTTTTTCCTGCTATGTATATCTTAAACAAATGCTGGCAGAATCAGTATCAGCCCAAAAAAAAAAAAAATACCAAGTCACTGTGACAGTCTGTGAGGGAACTCCAATTGTGGAGGGGGGAAAAGAGCCTCTATAATTTTGAGTATATGTGGGGGGCAAAAAGAGAAGATACTAATCTAAAAATCAGTGGAACTACTTAACAAAGATGTACACTATACGTCAACAGCATCGACTGGCAGGGAAGTAGTCCTGTGAAGAGAGTGTGGAAGAAACGAACCAGTATAGAAGCTCTTGGCAGTGAAGATAGGTTCATCATCTGCTGGGGAATCCCTTGTCGAAGCTTGGTGAGCTTGACAAATGGTGGAGCTCCTCTTGCTGATATCGTTACAACACTGGTCTTGCTGTTGTAATGAATTCAATGCCGACTGCAATACCGAACAAGACAAACCCTTGCCACCATTCAATGTTCCATCTTCCCTGGAGCTTGAATTCGTAACGGGCGTGGTCAGAATTCCCAACTGATGATCTTTGACTTCCCTCATCTCAATCTGGTACTTTGCTTTGAGCCATCGTAGTTCATGCTGTATATCGTTCTCGTCACCATATTCTGCAAGGTCTCTGTACAATGAAGCCAGCTCACGGAAAGACCCTGAACCCCTAGCATGTTGAGCAGACTTCTTTGGAGGAGAAGCAATCTCACTATTCTCCATGACATGCTTAAGAACGAGCTTCTCATACTCTTCATCCGAATGGCTGGTCCCGGACCCTGCTGGAGTGATGTCACGGCTCTCGTGCTGGTACCATGTGTGTCGATGATGATGCGAGCGAGCTCTAGCATTTGAAGCACATTGATGATGATCTGTATCCTCGGGTTGGAAAGTCACCTCTTCAAACCTGCCATGCATTGAAGCACAGCCATTTCTACAACACGGGTTGCTGGACATAAAATCAATGAGCGATCCGGTCGAGGTTCGAGTTGAGGCACAGTTCTGACAGATAGTTTGATTCGCAAAACGAGGCATCTCGTTGAGACCTTCAGGCCCTGGCCCCCAGCCTGGTACAAAGGAAGCAATCTCACCGTCTATCATGTCTGCTATTTTAGTCACATCTTGATCGGTTATATCGAGTTCTGCAACCATTTCAGTCGCTACACTCATTGCTGTATCTGTTTCAATGTCGAATGGGAAATAGATATTCCTAATACGGCCTGCATAAATAGAAACCAAATTTAAAGACGAGGAGTCGAATTGCAAAAGCAAATGGGAAGCTAAGGGCATATTTACTTTCCATTTGGTTCTCTGATTTTTGTTTCATTTTCAGAAGTTGGCAACAGAAACATGAAAAATGTCGATACTTTCATGTTGTAAGGTCCCTAACCTTCTTTGTCCGCAATACGAAGTCTCAAGAAGATGCCACCATCATCTCTCCTCTTGCCCTTAATACGGATATCAATGTTGGGAGGATGATCATCGTCGTCGTCTTCATCATCGTGATACTCAAAGAGTTCAATCCCTGCATGCTCCATTTCAGCAGGATGATTGTACTCCACTTCATTATGAGCATCATAACTATATCTGTTATTGTAGGAAGAATACATGCCGTCATGAAGATCAAGGTAGGGCTGCCTCATATAGGGACTAATCTCCTCGACATCCTTTCCATAATCTAATAACTGGAGATCGGGGTTATACTCGTCGATTTGTAAGAAAGGATCGTTCAGCAACTCCCTAGCAGAAAGCCTGAGGGAAACAGTGGCCAAGCATTTCTCCACAAATTCCCTCACTTCTGGATCCTTCACTTTGTATAAAGATTCAGGCTTTTTACCCTGTAAGGAAAAAAAAAAAAAAGTTCAAGAAACCCGTTTTTCTACCTTACCGGGGGAAAAAAAGTTAACCAAATGTGCTTACAGAGATGACTTTCTTGTATATCTGAGCCGGGTTAGTGCATTCACTATAGGGATATTCGAAATTGACCATCTCCAATATGCACATTCCAAAGGAATATATATCAACCAATTCGTTATATGCCTCCTCATAAACTTCAGGCGCCATAAACTCTGGTGTTCCTGATAAGCCAGAACAAAAAATTCATGCTACTGAAGTCGAGCTAATGAAAGAGAAGATTGCAGATGGAGTTTGAGGCAGTTTTCAGTATACCAACACAATGGTCAGCATGAGATTTCCTTAGGATAGCAGCAAGTCCAAGATCTCCAATCTTCACTTCACCCTGGTTTCCATTGATGAAGATGTTGTCACACTTGAGATCTCTATGAATCACAGGTGGGTCATGGCTATGGAGATATAGGAGCCCTTTCAAGATCTGCCTACACCAATGCTTCACTGCTCTAATATTGACTCTTTTGTGCTTCTGCCGATATCTATACCAAAAAAGCACACCAAAAGAGGGTGTTCAAAAGGGAACTCACCAATATGGAACCATTAAGGCAAAATATTGACTTTCGCCAAGGAGAAGAACCCCTTACTGCCTCAAAGTCCCAGAAGTGAACATTTCAGTCACGAAATTGATGTTTCTATTTACAATGTCCACCCAGGAAGTACAGAACTTCATTATGTTCTTGTGCTTCAACGTCTTTAGTAGATGAATTTCGCAGTAGAGCCTCTCGAGATCTTCAGGACTTTGGAGGAAATCGTAGAGCTTTACTTGGTTCCATGCCACTTCAATCCCTTCATATTCATCAAACGCTCTGTAACTGAAGAAAACAAGACCCAAAATGAACTCTCAAGTTCCAACTCACGAAGAAATGTAAATCTGACAGACACCCAGTTCCAGAAACCTATCATAGACACATATAAGACCAGATTCCTCGGAAACACCAAATGGGCATCACTAGAAAAAATGGAGATTTTCGCAGAAGCAGAAAACAGAGGAAGAAGGAATCGTACACTGTCTTTGAAGCTCCCTTGCCCAGAATTTCATTATACTGAGGAAACCCAAACAGGAAATAAGAGAAGCGGCATCAGAAACCCAGAATCGGGTAAGAGAAAGGAGAATGAAGACAGAGAGAGGGAAGAGAGAGTTTTGACTGACTCTGCCGTATCTTCCAGTGGGATCAACTTCGACGAACTCAGAGTCGAAGCAATCCGTAGCACCATTCATTATTCTACACCCAGAAATGGTAAAAAGGGAAAACCCAAGTTGAGTTTTCTCTGCGAATCTGAACCTCTCAATATTCACTCCTTCTGCAGCGAATCAGCGATCCTTTTGCACAAAATGCTCAGATTCTCAGGCGAAGAAGAAATGGCGGCTGAGAAAAGAAGTAATAATGATTCGTCGGTGGGAGAACATTTGCCCACTTTCGGGTTACCTATTTTTTTTTTCCTTCTCTTTTTGCTCTTTGCTGGAGTTGTGAATAGAGGGAGAGCGCTCCCCTTCTGGACAAAAACTCACGGGGCAGCTGATAAAGGTTTTCTGTGCACAGCGAGTTAGAGAGAGGTTTTTCTTTGCTTTGATAGAGAGGGAGACTGCCACATTTGTTTTTGGCAGGGCTGATAAAAGCATGAAAAAATTCCAAAATATACATTTAAAAAAAAAATACAAACGTTACAAATTTTTTTTTTTTTAATTTACACATGTGTTCACCTCACCGCGGCCGTGGACCGTGGTGAACATGTTCATCGTGGATGAGGCCTGATATAAGGCTGAAACTTCATACCAATATAACTTTGCATTCAGTTATCTGAATGTAGCGAAATTTTATTTGATTCCACATACTTTTTCGATATCTTTCAAGCTATAGGTGGTTTGGTCACGTCTTCATCCCGTAAAAACGTTGTTTGCTATCACGAACGAGCAATTTTTCGAATTTGTCAAACTTTGGAAGGCCATATCTTTGTGCTCTGCAATCCAAACGTCATGAATTGTTTTTTATTATGCATATTTTTTAAGAAATACAACTTTTACTAGGAAAGAATTTTCAAAACAAAAAATATTTTTGGATATACGCAGTTTTGGGAATAAATTTGTCTTTACTTTTCACAAATCCTCGTACATTCTGAAATTATGGCTATGATAAAAGTTGTAGTCCTTAAAAATTTATTCAAAATAAAAAAAAATCGTAGCATTCGGATTGCGGGTCATAAACTTATGGCCTTCCAAAGTTAGGAAAAATCAAAAAATTGCTTGTTCGGGGTAGCAAAGACTTTTTTTCGGGATGAAAGCGGGACCAAACTGCCTATGGCTTTCAAGATCCCAAAAAATTATGCAGATCGGATAAAAGAACGCAAAGTTACATTCGTTTGAAATTTCATTCTTAAATCAGGCCTTCACCACGGTTGATGGCCGCGGTGATGCCTTCACCGCGGTTGACGACCGCGGTGATGCATTCACCGTGGCCGACCTGTTCACCGTGGCCGTCAACCGCATAAACATGTTCACCACGGTAGACGGCCGTGGTGATGCCCAAATATGTGTAGATTGATATTTTTTTATAATGTGTGTATTTTGAGAATTTTTTTTTAAAACGTAACGGCTGCAGAAGACCCGTCGGTCGCAGATGAGACGCCTTGACCCGCTGACAGGTGTCACATGAAGCTACATAGTTCTTCACGTCCTGACCCATCTGTGGCTAGTAAAAATGCGCCCGAATCCACCGCAATGTCCGCTCGACCCCAGAATGCCCTCCAAGCGGAGAGTCATGGAACTCCTGCAACACGGTAGTAACTAGGGAAGACCCCCGGGGAAGCACAAGAAACCCTCAAAAAACACCAGCCCCTGCCGAAAGGAATAATGACCCAGAGCTTCGCGACCGCTATATCCCGACATCCCTGCAGATACACATCAATCTCAGTAAGAGCTCGCAGGGCATCCCAAAATTGGGGCACCGGCCCCGTCACCGCCGCCAATATCTAACTCCTAGGGCGCCTTGAAAGCTCATCTGCCACGACGTTGGATGGTCCTGGTCGGTAGTGGATCTCATAATCATAACCCAGGAGCTTTGAGACCCACTTGTGCTAATCGGGAGTGGAAACTCGCTGCTCCAAGAGGTTCCTCAAACTCTGATGGTCGGTGTAAATGTGGAATTTCTGTCCTAGCAGGTATGGTCGCCACATCTGTACCGCCGTGATGATAGCATGCATCTACTTCTAGTAAGTATACCAAACTTCCTTGGATGGAGCCAAGGTCTTACTCATAAAGGCCACTGGGTGCCTATCCTGTGATAACACCGCCTGAAGCGTCTGCCTCAATCACAAAGGTTAAGAGAAATCTGGCATAGCAAGGGTCGGGGTGGTGGTCATGCCTGCTTCAGCTGCTGGAACGCCGTGTCTGCCTCCGGTGTCCATGCAAACCTGCACTTCTTCGACAAAATAGTCAAGGGTCGGGCAATCATAATTTACCCTCATATGAACTTCCGGTAGTAACCCATCAAACCCAGGAACCCTCGTAGTTCTGTGACGGTGGTTGGGGCCGGCCACTCCACCATAGCCTGAATCTTCGACTGGTCCACTTGTACCCCTTGCGGCGTGACAATGTGACCCAGATACTCCACCTTCTGAACCCCAAAGGCGCACTTCGAAGCCTTGAGGTAGTTCTGATGGTGCTACAAAATCTCGAACACAGCCTGCAAGTGCTGCAAATGGGCCTCCCATGATGGACTGTAAATAAGAATGTCATCGAAGAATACATTGCGTACCGACGGAGTAAGGGCCGTAAGATTTCGTTCATAGCCGCCTAGAAGGTCGAAGGAGCATTGCACAACCCAAACGGCATTACCAGGTGAAGTAGGTCGATCCGTGTAGTGCGCATCCCCCTCCTACATCCGGATCTAGTGATAGTCGGCCAGCAAATCAAGCTTAGTGAAGTAGGTCGATCCGTGTCGCTCGTCGAGCATGTCATCTACTGTCGGAATCAGGAACCTATCCTTCACTATCGCGACATTGAGAGCCTGGTAGTCAATGCAGAAACGCCAGGTCCCATACTTCTTCTTAACTAGAAGTATCGGTGAAGAGAAATGACTAGTGTTGGCCCGAATCAGTCCTGTGGTGAGCATCTCTGCCACCTGCCGCTCAATCTCCTCCTTCCGTGAATAACCATATCGGTAGGGACGGACATTAAGAGCTTCCACCCCATCCTTCAACTGGATACGGTGATCAACCTATCGATGCGGCAGAAGGGTGATAGGCGCCTGGAAGATATCTAGAAACCTGTCAAGTATCCGTTGGAGGTCTGAACCAACCTCATGCGCCTCGGAAGCCTCCATGGGCCAACACAGCATGGCGAAGTCAGCCTCACCCATTTTGGTACAATCATGGATGGAAATAGGGCCAATGCTGGTGGTGAGTCCTTGCAGGCTCCACTCCTTGTCCCGCCACTTAAATCTCTTGGTTAGGCTCTTCCAACCGGTGGTAGTCGGACCCAAACTCTGCAGCCATGGAATGCCCAAAATGACATCGAACCCCCTGATGGGTAGCACAAATAAGTCGGCGGTAGGCTGTGGTACACTGCATAAGTGCACCATTCGCGACCCGGACCACCACCTTCTCCACCTCACTCACCGCCAATGGTAGGGACTTAGCAAACTCTTCGCTGATGAAATTGAGCGAGGCACCGCTATCCACCAAAGTCAACGCGGTTTGCCCGCCCACCTAGGCTCGGAAATGAAGCGTGCCCGGAGTAGGCAGCCCATTCGCCGAGTTGAGGGATAGCGATGGAGTGCCGCCGAAACCCCTGCCCTACCCGTTGCCGACTGTCGCTTCGCGCGAAGCCTAGCCGCCGGCCTCCGAAGCTCCCCCGAGCTCCCCGCCTTGCTCGCCTGCCACCGCGCACCGAGGGGCAACGCCCTCCGATGTCGCAACGCCCTCCGACGTTGACAGCGCCACCGCGCCTTCCTGCCGCGTCGTGGCTGGCGTCGTGCCCGACCCCGCGGCTGGGGTTTCCTCCACCGTCGCCGTCACAGCCCACCCACGGTCACGTGCCTCCCATTTGAGCTCGGCGACCATGTACTCAATCTGCTGCCATACGCGACCCCATTCTAGATCGGAGAGCCTTAATGAGATCATGTTGGCTCTTATACCAGAATGAGGGATTGAGAAAAAGAATATTAGGGATTGAGAGAATTAGGGAATAACAGGAGAAAGATAGGTTTAGGAATTTTGATATTCTTATTGCTTAATTCCAAAATGAACGTACTAAAACCCTTTTTATGAGTTTCAGAGAGCTAACAGGAAATAACAAAACAACCACTCAAACCCGGCCCATACGACCGACCCAACCCTACCTGCTCACCCCACTAGGCGGTGATTTCTATCATTAGCTTAGCCTAATAGTAGGGAAGAGAAGTTCTGGAATCTGGATGAATCAATTTATTAATTTAATTAGTTAATCTATGATTCCTTTTCCTGATAGTACAGGGAAGGAGAAGTTCTATTATATTAGGATAATTAGTGAATTAGTAACGTCGGCCGTCCCTGCAATTCCGGTATCAGAAAACCGGGTTTTTTATGGTTACTATGCACCCGGATTTCTGTATTGCCGTCATCCCATTCTTCACATCCAACAACCGTTAGCGCTCGATTAGCGGTTTAACCGATAACAGCGGTTACTGGTACGGTTATCGGTTAAACTGCTAACAGGGAAATCGAATCCCAGTCTCCGTCTGGCGGCACGGGAATAATCCCATCCCCTAAGGGTATAGTTTGAGTTAAACAATCACATTGTTCATTTTGCTCAATTTTGATTCGTGTGTTCTGATTATCACTCTCTGCGAACGTGGCTAGATCAGATTCATCACAGTCTAGCTCTGACGAGTGAGGGAGCTGGAACCTCCATTGTTTCATTAGCTCATGCCTACATCTCTTTGTTGGACTCTCTTCTGTGAGCTCAAGCTCTGCAAAAGCATTCTGATGCGTTCGTTTTTTCAGGCGGAGCCACCGTGATCTACGTCGGAAAATCTCACGAAGAGCCCTTTTCGGTTTGGGATTCGCGGTTGCTAGGAGATTGCCATCCTTCTTGCTATTGATTGTGATCACTGTCATTTCCAATGTAGGAAGACGATCACGTTCCGAGGGGGCGATACCATCGATACTAGTGTTCTTGGTTCCTCAAGCTGGCAGCGAATATGGGGACGACAGTCCGCGTTAACCATCGTCCGAGCAGTGAACAAAAAAGGAGGAGAGAGGATAGAGCACCTCTTTTTTTTCAACAATACGATGAATCAATTATATTTGCCTTAAAAGAGGTCATAGCAAACACATACTCTGGCTTTTATTTTAAACATCAGAGGCTAACGTATAAGCCTCCAAATGCATAATTAGAGGCAAATACCTAATTGTCGCTATCTTTTGTTGCTAAAGAGAATTAGCGACAGCAGTATTGGTGTCACATATTTATGTTCCACTATATCGTTATAGAGGCATATAAATGATATATGGAGGCATATACTCATAGTTACGTAACATCGTCCCAGGGGTTGGACGTAGGAAGCTGATAGACCATTGATTGCACATGTTTTTACCCCTATTCTTGAG